GATCATTGATAAAGATATTAAACAAGACTGGCCCCAAAAAATTCCACACACTGAAAGGCCTTAAGGCTGTATAATGAAGGACTGTCAGAAAGATGCCTGCTCTACCTGCTAGAGAGTTTAGCTGGAATGTAACAAATAAGGCAGGAGAAGGAAAGACAAGCGTACGGTTAAAACCTCAAAAATGTTCCTTAATTCTGTCCCTGGACTCCCACAAGAACCCTTTGTGATGCTAACCAAATTGCTTGAAATCAAATTTCCAGTTTCCCATAGGTTGCTGCCGAGTAGTAGTCATCAATTTTTTCACATGTCCAAACTAAAAAGCTCAGGATATGACCTGCAGAACTGCCCCATTTTACAGCTGTCACCAAAATCATTGAGATCCATGCTTCAAACACATAAGAGGGAACATACTTTGAAAAAACAGAGCGTAAGAATCTAAAAATATGCATTGAAAAAAACACTAGTGAGCTTTTTCACTGTATCTGAGTCATGAACTATAAAACCAGACCTAAAACCTATTCATAACACAACAATGTTATGGAAGTAACTTCCTTCATACAGATTAACAGCTCACCCTCAGCGGTGAGCTCCATGCAAAACATGAGGAAATTATTCCTACCCTCCATGGTGGATTGAACCAGTTTTATAAAAGAATTCTGATGTGATATTTTGAACAGTAAGAATAAATCAACATCTGATGTTTACTAAATGAGTACTACTATTCTGCACAGTGAGTAAGGCAGTAGTAGTTCTAGGAGGGAGGAAACCCTATATAACGGCACATTTAAAATCAGTCTGATAATAAACAAACTCAAGAGGGAAAACTAAAATTTCACAGACATTTGACCTTTTTTTCTCAACTATAAAAGCATAATAGTTATGTAGTGATTTTGGGCAATTTTGTACTAGACCATAGTCTTTTTACTGGATATAGCGATCATGATCCCATTAGGAATAACAACAGATGTACGTTTCAATCAGATACTGGAGTTAAAAAAAAAAAAGAAGTTTCATTAAAAAATTTCCCTGAAATGTTATCACACTTATGCATACTTTTACAAGAAGCTGTACTGTAATAGTTTTTTTTAAAAGACAGAGCTTTAGTAGATTATGGAAAAAGATCACTATATGGCTTAAAGAACTTTTTTGCAGTGTTAAGACAGATATAGATAGGAATTCTGGAACATCTACTTACATTCACACTGTATCACATCTAAATTAAACTGCTGAATTGCTCCCATGCTTATTTGTTTCAATTCACTGTCCAGTAGCATCTGCATTAGGGACGTTGAAAGATGCTGGCAGGCTGACATGCAAGCTGTCTGGGCCACTTTTCCCTAGTAGAAAGAAAAACAGGTTTTAAGATAGAAACAAATGATATGTCAACTAAAGAACTGCTTATCTGATTTGATTTTAATATTCACTCAAAGTCTTAGTGATGCAGGACTTAGATTAGAAGGAGGAAAATCACACTTGCTGTTATTTCCTTGACCTGTTAACTTTGTTTCTGGTAAATTAAATATATGTTTATGCAATTATTGATATTTCTTCTGGAAATCCAACAGTCTTCACAAATACAAGGACATTTCCAAAATAATAACAACATAAGTTGCTGAAGCATATGAACAGCTTTGTGCATTTATTTCAATCTTTTTTACCCAAACAGAACGAAAGCAAGAATGTAATGAAAATCAACATGCTGCATATTTTTAACAACAGTCAGTAAAAAAACCCCAAACTTTATATAAACCAAAATCATTGCTTTCAGTTGGGGTATTTCTCATAATAGCTTGTGCTAATTATTGGCACTTTAATTGTTTGAATTCCATCTCAAAGCCTGTTGCTAAATTATTTAAAATATTCATGCTTATTCATCATCTTTTCAGGTGCTTAATAAATCAGTGCTGTCAGTAATCAACTGCATACAAAATGAAATGTAGCCCTCTGCTGTACAAAATAGAAATAATTTTCCAATCACAGTCTAATTAGTAACATTTCTCTTTACGATGCATATGTAATTGAGGTAAATAGTTTTCCAAACATGAGACCAAAAAACAAAGCCAGGCATTAATTTGATAAATTATTATAAATTTAGTACAGAAAAACTGAAAGATATGGAAATTCTGCCTTAGAATTAAGAAAACCAATTAAGACCAGATACCAGATCAGATGGCACCGTTCTATTCATAGCACTGCAATCTTTTAGAGCAGAGTGATCGTGGCTTTCAAATGCAACATATGAATCTCTGCAGTATAATGTACTTACTAAACCATGCTTTTCAACTGACGTCTATGTTACAATACATACTGAAACAAAGGTAACTATCAACACACTTACATCAAAGAAATCATAATTACGTAATACACCTACTGGAGCACACACCACTATTGTTTTACTTATATCCATGAGTAAACGCATGACACCTATTCTCTAAAGCAATGGTTCCCCAGCTGTTTTCTGCAAAGTCAGGTTGATCAATTCACTGTTGACTCAAAGAAACACATATAAGCAATGAAAAATGGTAAGGATAGACAGCAGTTCACTGTCCCAGAAAGTGTGGAAAGTTCTGCTCCAACATCTGAAGAACCAGATCTTGTCCTTAATAAGACAACTTGCTCATACCATTGAATTTTCATGTATACATATAACAGAAAGCAAATTTAGTCCTAAATATTTTGTACTTTAAAAATCCATTCTTTGTTAAAACATAATTAAAATGCAGACAATACAATGGAAAACGTTCACTCTCCTCACATGTCACACTGAAACATTAAATGGCTTTTGCTAATACCTCTTTAGCATTAGGATACCTTGAAGTGTTAGGAGCTTTATATCTAAAATGAGATGTCAGTTTCTTAATTGAAAATCTCAGAAAAGCAAATAACATTTTTGACAAAAATAGATGAACTGACAACGAGGAATGTAAGAAACAATGCAAGAACAGCATGCTTAAAAGTCTCCCAAACCCAATGGTAATTACACTGGGAGACATGCAGCTCTATTCCCCAAGCAGAACAATATCAGTATGAATGGGGGGAAAAAAAAAAAAAAAAAAAGGAGAGAAAAAGGGGAAAAAAAGAAGGAAAAAAGGACGTGAGAAGGAGAATCAATGGGCCACAGTTCATTTAATTACAGTGTAGTAGGTTTGAAATACTTAATGGAAATGTCATTTTGATTTAATGGAACAACTAGTGCATCTCTGTTTAATGTACTGCTCCATCAAATCAGCTCCACGTCCTATTTATGGTGCCACTATAATGTAATAAAAGTTCAACCAGATTAATAGGTTGTCAAGAAAAATTTTAACATTCAATTTATTTTATATGCAAACAATGTGTACTCCTCTATTATTTTAAATAAAAGACAGAATTTTATATTTCTAACAAGCATCTGTAGTTAATTGTTACAATCTGGCAAATACCAATAGTACTGGAGCACAAAATAATGGTTACAATACAGAAATGACATGGTAAAAGCCACTTGGACTTCAAATAAGTATCGATACATGTACATTTAACGTTTATTTTAAAATTTCATAAAATGGAAACATCCTAACATTTAAACTATTTCCAACTATGTAACTTGAACTACAGGCTTATTGTTCACATGACATGTCAACAAGTAACAGAATTTTACTATACACAGTTTATACTTACTCAATACAATCCCTCGATTTTCTTAAATCTAGAGAAAAAATGAAGCTACATATATCAATCAAAATGCTGAATTTTAACTGAGAGAAATGTGAACTTCACTGTTATCCTCTTCAAAATTCCGTGTTTCCCAGTTCAAAATAAGTTGGATGTATGATATTCAGAAAAGAATGAAATTGAAATTTGCATTTGACAGATGAGATCCAGTTAAAATCTCTCTCCAAATTTCTACCATCCACCAATTAATCAATTCCTCACCATTTTTTCATAATGCATTTTGAAGAGGAAATGTAAGTATTCGTGAACGTAACAATAACACATTTCTTTTCCAGAATTAAACAAATCTCAGTTAGTTTTAAAACATTCTTAATGTTTATTAATTGTCAGTTTGGGTTTTTTTAATTACTATTATTTTTTTAAGGCGGGGTGGCCGTGGTTACTGTATCTAGCAATTAAATACCTATATTCAATAGCATGCAGAGATTCAGCAGGCTTTTCACATTCACTCCAGTTGCCTCCTGTTTGGAGGCACCACTATTATCTCTGCTGTGCCTAGGCTATTTGCTGCTATCTACAAAACCTATTCTTCCACTCAACCAATGTAAAGTTTAAGAAACAAGGACCCTATTCTATAAGCAAACACCTGCTAACAGTGTTAAAGGCAACTGTTTTTTCACCCAGCCTTCACATTTTGCTGAAATACAAGTTTGTAAAAAGAGAAAACCCTTAGACAAACTTCTTATATTTCAAAGGAGCTTGTAAAGAGAATCTGCTGACATATTAAATCCTTTTTTATAGGACCCAAAAGCTTTTCTCCTAAGAACAATTGCCGTAGAGAGACATTTGGCTCCTAGGAAATTCCCAAAGGGTCAGCCATATGCATCCTTCCACGGCACCTTCGTGGTACTGCTAAGACCCATGCTAGCTGCCTCAAAAGCAGCTTTCATCATTCACTATGGTGTCAGTCAATATGATTTATGGACTGCATTCAACGAAGTCAAAGCATATAGAATGAGAAATATGACTACAATCTGCTAATTTGTTTTGTATTGAGCCACTTAGGAGTCAAAGACCTGATGTCAGGCTGAGACCAGCAACACAATTAACCAGCCAGTGACAGATTCATCCATCCTCCCTGCCAGGCTGTGCCAATCAAAGACAGCATGAAGCAGCATTTGGAGAAATCCGTAAGAAAACCCATTCTCTAAGCAGCCTGTGGAGGCTGCTGATTGACAGTTTTTGAATATAGCTGCAGAAAGCCACCACCCCTTCGCCCTCACTGCAAGCTGTGAAATTAGGCTTTTGCTGCCAATCACAGAAACAATAAAATAACGCAAACTGCCATCCTCAGCATAAAAGGAAATAACAAAACTTATCTGTTAAATCTAAGACATTAAGCTGAATAATTAATGTAACAATATGAAATGACATAATGAAAAACTTTCTGAACATGCAAAGAAACTAAACATACAGATTTTATCAGTCATAATAACTAAAGCATTATATTACTTAACATCAGGACTAAAATCCAACTTTTGAACTATTGATAAAATACAAGTATACTAAAAAACACTAATGGAATTTTTAAGAATCAATTTTGCTTCCAGTCTCTGCCCCAAATTTTACTGAAATAAAAAAAACCTACTTGAAAGTAATTTGTAACTGTTACTTTTCAATAGTCATTCTTTTCTAAAGAGTTGTCCAATGCTAACTTCGTACTGACAAAGCACATATCTAGAATAAAACTTCAGCTAATTCTAAATTTAGATTAAAAACACCTCTACAATTTCAAATTAACTGATCTGAAAATAAAAGCTATGATTTTTCTTTAACTGTTCAAAATAAAAACTAAAAAATGTAGGCCCTTAATAACAAATTTGATCATCCAATTGATTTAATGAGATTAATGGCTGTATAATGAAATTTTAACTTGCTTTTTGATTCAAAGTATCTAATGGCACTATGAACTGCAATATGAACTTAAAATGGGATGTAAAAGAACCTGAAAACAGCAATAATCTCAAAAGACTAAATTCTTGTGTCTTTAGAAAACAGAACGTTAAAAACTGCATGACTCTCAAATTATAACCTTTTGAAAGCAATGCAGCCTCTGTGCTCTGCGTCTCTGAAATTCTGCTAGTGCTTGGTCATGCCATAACCAGCACACTGACACTTATTCAACATTAACGGGAAATATTTCTACACAAAATAGTCAATATTCCTAGTGCTCATGACACCTATTAGCTTGACAGTTCAACATGCGGCTGAGTATTCAAATCATAGAAACGTTCATTGGAATGAACCACCAATGTCATCTAGTCCAGCCTCCTACTTGGAGTAGGACTATTGCCAACACTAGTTCAGGTCCATTGTCCTTTTTTCTGGCTGAGCCTTCAAAACAACTGAGGATGGGAATTCAACAGCCTCTCTGGGTAACCTCCTCCAACACCACACTACTCTCTTCAAGAAAACTTTTTCCCTAATGTCAAAGCTTCATCTCCCAAGCGTATACTTGTGACCATAGCCACATGTGAATTTGTCAGTCCTACCAAGAAGAGTTTGGCTTCATCACCTTTGTATCTGCCCTTCGAGACGTTGTAGGCTGCCACTAGATCTCCCCAGCCTTCTCTTTAACTGACTAAATAATCCACCTCCCTAAACCTCCATTTGTTAGTCATGTGCTCTAGGCTCCTAATGACTTGTAAACCCACTGCTAGATCCTCTCTCCAGATCCACAGAGCTACTACTCAGCCAATTGCTTTCCAGTTTGTACCAATGAACAGGGTTATTCCCACACTGTGTACCCTAAGTGCCTTACACATTTGTTTACTTCAACAGCAAACAGCACAGTGTACGTTTGTTGCTGTACACTGCTTAAGTGAATAAGATTCAACCACATTATTAGAGAAAATTAGTAAAAGTGAGTTCAGAAATTCAGTATTCAGAAGCCACTCTTAACAGAGTAATACTAATTTCAACACTTTCATTATCATAGAAATGCTTATGCCAAATCAAAATAAATTCCTTATACAAAAATTGATGAGCTGAAAATAATCAGGGCTTGGAAGAATACTTAAATGCAACCCATCATCTTCTTAGCACAGAAACAATGGAACTTTCACTGGTTCTTTATTCTGTTACATCACTCTACCCTTATTCTGTATGCATGTCTCATAGCTGCATTTTGATACCTGACCTCTCTTCCAAAAAGTCTCATAGTGTCCTCTAAATTGTCTCATTTGGGATGCAAGGCACACCCCACCAACATTCTGCAAGGTTTTTAGAGCTCCTGCTGTCCCAGTGTATGAAAGCCCAATTTTAGTCATTAACCTGATCCCTGCATGCAACCACACAAGGTAAACAGCAAGTAATCAGCAACACAGAAGGGTCTTTTTATTAAATGATTAAAAATGGAAGCAATAAGCCTGCAGGCAGTTCATAGTTTTTTCAGGTCACATGCTTTTTCTTCATCTTGCATCTACTTACCGACATAGCTGCATGGTCATTGTTGTTATTCTGAGAAGGAAACCAGTAATGCAATCAAAACAAAAAAATTAAGATGTACTGTCAACATCAAAACAAAACAAAAAAAAAAGAATAAAAAATTGGTAGCAATAAAAGGTAGGAAAAGCTTCCAAAAAGAACAATTACAGTTACATAATTTCTTAAATTATTATTTTTTTTAAACCTGTGAACTTATACAGTATTTTGTTGAGGCATAATAAAGAGATTATAATTTAAATAATACTAATTCAGCAATAACATGTTTTTCTGTAATAAGAAACTGTATGCCAAAATATCAAAGTAGCAAACTTCAAATGACGAAGCGTCTGTTGATATGCTTTTCCAGAAAGTTTTCATGATAAGAAATAATATATTCCAAAATACTTAGGTTGAAAAATAAATGCCATGTTTACCATCGTAACTTACAGAGGCTATCTGTATGTCATTAACACACTTTGTTCAAGCAAGACTTAGAATCACTCAGGACAGTAAGAATCTAAATGTAACACAACTCATTAATAAATTTTAACATAAATCTAATGGTAATATAACTGCAGGGTGGAATAAAGCTATGTTCTTTTCCAAAACTGCTTCTTAAGTACAGTAAACAAATGCAGAGGAGAAAACTAAGATGTAAAACTTAAAAGGGGAAAAAAAAAGCTTCAGAGATGCAAGACATTTCCAGTGATTCAACAGAGAGCTCAGACCCCAACTAAGCTGTGCCACGAAGTGTGCAGGTTCAGTAAAATTGACATCATGGTCTACCTGATTTAGATATTGAATGTTCCAATAGAAGTAAGACAAATTGCATAAAACCAATATGTAACATAAGATGTGTTTTTTAAAAGTGATGTCTACATTGGTACAGAAATAATTCAGTGTAGCCCCACATGGAAGCACAAAAGGAGACACATTCCTTTGCATTTACAGAGCTTACACATACAGCTAAAATAAAGCAAGACTCTAACGACAGGAACTCAACGACTGCACCAAAAAACTGTTAAAGAACAACATGTTATAGGACTTCTACAGGAAGACTAGAGTTTGAAACAGTATCACAGAGGAAGTCAGTGACCTTTGAACGAGACTGGAGAACTAGTGTGGCCAACTAGTGCCCCTAGCCCTAGCACAATGCCCTTCAACATGATCGGATACGCTACAGTAGGAAGAGAAGAGATTCCTCTACTTGTCCTGCTCTTTTCCTTACTAGAATTATGGCCAGTGGCTAGAACTTTTGTTCTTTGATTTCTAATTACAGAAAAAGGTTCTGAGAAACTATTTTGAGCAGTGGAATGTTTCTGCCAGTCATGCAGAAATTATTATGGAAATGACACTATGACATTAATGGAATAATCCATTAATGAAAATGAATACTAAAACTATTCCAAATCTTAACTATGGCATATGAGAATCTAGCTTAGTTTAGCACTCCAAAGCACTTACTATTTTAATGAGCTATAGAACCTAGTTCTGGGCTTTTCTTTGAAAATGTTTTTACTATAAATTTTCTCTTAATGAAAATAACTGACAATTACAAATCTAACCAGAATCACCATAATGAAACCGTATACACATTTTCATATAACCTCCACAGCTCATGCACAGCAACATTCAGAGGACTGTATGTTTCTACAATTGGCCAAGCCAGAATAGGGAGCAATACACAGGGTAAGTCAAAAATTACAAGAACCCTCTTGCCAGACCAGACTAGTCATCCATATAGTTCTACATCCTGCCTGTTACCTGACCAGAGTTTGAAATTACCAAATAACCTCTTCACAGAAACTAGCTTTCTCCATAGGTTGACTTGTGCCCCCAGACACATATTTCTATTCCTTTCACACTTTTCAAGTCCTAATGCCACAGCTGCTTCTTTCCATCCCTCTTAATACATTACTTCGTTCTGTCTGTGGCTCATTTCCAAACAGCGATATCACAACATACATCCATGACAGACTTCTGTACATCCTTCTCTAGAAGTTGCACATCTCTTAACTGTTATATGCATATGACTATTGAGGGGCAGTGCCATTTGTTCGCGCTGCTTTGCGTGTTAAGTTACAATGAACGTAACTAACGAACTTGCTATTCTTTATTAAAAAATGCTCAACTGATTTGGCATAGAAGCACATGCCTCATACGTCACATTCACATCAATATTACATGATACACTTTGAGTGGGTTATGTCTTTGAGTCAAAAAAAAAAAAAAAAAAAAAGAGACTGAAGAATCACAGCCTCTTCACATGTGATTTGGCAGACCAGATAAGCGCACTATGCCAGCAACTTCAATACCTTGTTGTGCATGTAAGGAAATTATCTTTTACTTCCAGTCAGGAGCCTCAAAACATTCTATGCATTGAGGACTTATTCTTTATAGGCATTGCATGTGGGTAAAACACTCAGACATCAATGTGACAGTAGCAACCAAGGACAAGCTCATGAAAAGCAGACGTAGCTTGAAAGACTTACTGAAGTTACCCCAGACCTATAAAGCTATTAACTATTATGATGATAAATCAAACTAGAAACAGTCTTTTTTGTCTTAAAGCAAGGGGGAATCAGACAATGGCATGTAACAATTAGTACATAAACCAGGTTAACAGTACCTTTTTACCTGAGACAAATTTACGCAGGATATATTTGAATATGAACAAGGATTCATTTCAGTGAAGCTCAGTTAACTAGAATCAAATGACTTTTTATGATCAAAACTATTTAGCTAAAAACAACCTTGGAGAATCCAAGACCTCCATAATCTTATGCACAAATGCAGGATTAGCACCAGTTCTGCATTGGTTGAATCTATGCATGTGTACACAGAACCAATACAGTTAATTAAAAAGGCCTTCTCATGCTCTAGAAAACTGCATGAGTTCTTACACTATTTGTAAATTAGCTACTGTTAACAATATTACTAAAGTATTTGAAAGTATTTTCTACGTATTACCATGGGTAAGTATCACCAACATACTGAAACACATCTGAAAATACATCTGTACTGAAGAAAATTTAAAAATACATCTGCCAGCATGTGCACAATTCAAAAATCACATCTATCTTCAAAATCTTAGTATTTTAAAATAAAATAATGCTTCAATAGTTTGAAATTAAACTTAATTTTGAACACTTACAGGTAAATGAGTAAAAACTTGAAACGTGCTTCTTAAAAAGTTAATAAGGTCCATTAAGTACCCACTGGCTCTTCCATCTGATTCAGACATGGTCCAATCATAATCAGCAATCTGAATGAATTCATCTATTTTTTGGTTAAGTTTTGTGTATATTTCTCCTTCTGCAGCATGCCTTGCATCCTGAAAAAAAATTGTGTGCAATTGTCATAATTCTAAAATATTATTAGAATGCAGATAAAATTATTTTCATCGATGAGACTATTTTGGTTTTCTTAGATTCAAAAAATATTTTATTTAAATCAATATTTTAACTTCTGTCTTAAAATAAATCTGAGGCTGTGTTTTTTAAAATACTCCCATAATGTGTACCATAAGAGTGTTTACAACAGAATATGCCTACAGAATAATCTAAGTTCTCAGAGACAAATAAAATTAATTTGAATTTGGAAACAAAGCAACTGCTTTACTCTCTTCACAACAATCATCACCTTTAATTCAGCCTTACACATTTGTCAACACTGACACAAGTTTATTTGCCCTCTTTGACAAAGAAAATAATGAAAGAACCTAATTATTTTATCTGCTATGGCTAGAGGTCCAGCAATCATATGATTTTTATGTAATTAATGTCTTAAAGCTGCACATCTGAATAATACCATTTTTCATTCTCCTTTAAATATCCCAGTCATCACACACCATGATTCAGAGCACTCCCCTACTTCCTCCCACCCCTACTTTTTGTTCTGCCACCACCCAGATTGTACTTTTTGGAACAGTAAAGAGGTAAAGTCTAGCATTTACTGTGAAGTGAGTTTATGATGCTATCTATCTGCCTTATTTGTTTATGGGACACCCTCACAGATGCAATGGGATCTATGTACAGATGCTTGATGAGGTGTATCTTGCTGGAAAGGTGTGCTTTTGCCAGCCTGGAGTTTAAAGATACTCAATAAATTCTGTATTCTAATTTGGACTCAACATGAAACTTTCTTCACAGATCTTGAGAAATAATTCAAGTAAGACATTTGATTTAAAGTGAACTGGTCAGTTGCTGAAGGTTTTTAGAGGCTGGATATACTGGAGCAACATAAAAGTGGATGAAACACCTATTGCTAGTTTCCTCTGGAAGAAAGCAGTGCAAAAACATGGCACTTCAGAAAGGTGTAAACAAGAAAGGCGAAATGAAAAAAGAAAAAAAATCAAAACAATCTGATCTTAAAGGTGGTATCATATTGAGTGTGTCAAACTCAGTCTGCAGTCAGGCCCCAGGCTGGAAAGCACTTCAGGAGGAAGCAAGAAAGCACGTGGCCCTGCCATGTATAAATATTAAAGTACAATTCCCTAAAAATAGTATTTTTACTGACAAACCAACTTGTAAAAGCCTCCACTGAACAGCTTTCCCAAACCAACACAAAAGAATCTGGCAACCCATTAACATCTCAAGTAAAGGAATATGCTGACATCCACAACTTTTATATGGCTATAACTATAAAAGCTTCAACTGAAGTCAAGTCTATATTTAAAGTTTCTAATTAACAATGAGACATCAGTTTCAACAACCTATAATGATGAGACTTGCAAATATATCTGCTTAGGTTTAGTGTAATTGCTTGGATTTTTTTTTTTGTTTGGGTTTGGGGTTTTTTGTTTAAAAACTAAGTCATTCATGGAGTGGTTGTATCATCTTTACCAGTTAAGATGATTTACCAGCAACGGCAAGACTAGTCCTTCAGGTTTTGTTTTGGAAGCCTGTTTTTGGCTACCTTTTATTTTGCTTTGGTTATTAGTTTACAATTGGAGCAGCACGCTGCCAGTGCTTTAAGCAAGGAGTGTTGCTCTGTTCCCTGAGAAAACTCTGAACAGCAGAGCAACTGGATTTCAAACCCAGAAGTTACTTCTGAGAAGCAGCACTGTGAATCCCATGCACAAGTCAAGAAAGAGTGAGTTAGCAGTATGCAGATTTGAGATGACTCCTAGAGGCAGATGGATTAACTCCATCTCCTCTTTTAACACGGTGACAGAATTGCATCAAAACCTTTTGAAAGCTCACCATATTTCCCCCCATTATAAAGTGAAAAGGGCAAATGATGTGGTTTTGTTAAATGGCTTTTCTCTCAGATGTCCTGAAGCCCTGCACAGGATTTGTTGCTGCGTATCTGGCTCTCCAAATGCCATTACACAGCTTAATGCCAAGACCCTGGGCTCAAAAACTTCTATCAGCTAGATCTGCAAATACATCTATTTATGCTTAGTGCAACGGCCGATTTAAACAAAGGAAAACAATGGTCACCCAAAGCTGGAAAACGTGGCTATAAATACTGAAAGTGACACAATTTTTTAGTATGATAAAATGAAACAAGTTTTGGTGGTGGTGTGTTTTTTTAATTTCTACCCATGTGAAACAATGCTTGGAGCATCTGAAGGACATCTTAAAATGAGATCTTATATACAAAAATAAAATGAGAAAAATAGCCCTCTAAAATAGTAGCCATGAAAGAGGTCTGAAGGCTTCTATTAAAAAAAATGCAGTGTAGATGTACTTATTAGATCATCTCATGGAATGTAAATGTTATCAATGCTGCTAATAAAAGGAGATTTTTGACCACTCAGAAAGAATGGAGGTGACATGATTTGCCACCAGGAGATGAATTTAATAACAGTAGAACATACCAAACTCTGTGAGGGTTCAGTTGGGGAACTGCAAGCAGTTTTTCATTAAAATAGAGAGAGGAAAAAATAGAGGGATTAACGAGAAAAGAATTTTCTACTATAAGTGGAGAACATTGTGCTAACAAGTTCTCCA